AGCGTTCGAAGCTCGTTCTCGCCGTCTTAAGCAGCGCCCGAATCTTCCTCAGTTTTCTCGTCTTTGTGAAAAAAAGGTGCGCGCTGCTTTGAGCGTATAATCTGAAATTGAATGTCCAGGCTTAAGTGTGCCCAAAAATATGGTTCAAAACTTTTGAACCATATTTGGATGCTTCAAAACTTTCAGTCTGCCGGATAATACAAAGTCCAATGAGGTGAAATCAGCTTCGATTCCCAACATTTCCTGCGCCACATACTTGAGCTAATGTTCGAAAATGAAGCGCGCAAGGACCGCAACACTCACTATATACACGTCCACCTGATGGACTAAAAAAGTCTTTACAGGACGAGCAAAACTCCTGTGTGCGGGCGCATCATCCATGCGCATCCGTGCGTTATCAAAGTCAAAAGTCAAAACCTCCCCTGTGCACTTCACTGTCTCTGCGAAGCGAGCGCACTCGCAAGTAGCCTGAGCAGCCATCTGCTGACAGGGCTGTCGCCCTCTCTCTTCCAAGAGTTGTGCTCTCTGGAATGTCCTAGCACTAATTTACCATCGGGAATGTATGAGCAAATCGTACTCGCAGATTTCAGCCCATGGTAGCATGGGAGTGGCTCCAGCTACCTGTTCTCCATACCCTCGGCGTGCTTGATGGGCAGTGGCCGCTCGGCAGACTTTGTTGACGTGTGGTACTCTTTCAGCATGGCCACTGTATTGCTCCTTGTGGCACTGATGTTATTACGGTTATTTTTCTCTGTACAACAGTACTGCAGCTAACTTTTCCCAGGACACTAGCATTTTGACGGCGTGCACGTTTATATTTATACAAGTGTGTGTGCGTGTGTGTGTATGTGTGTATTTGCAACAGTTCTTTAAACGAATGACATCTGCGGGCGTTGGTCGTAAAAGATTTTTTACCGGGTTTCGATTCCACCATCTGTAAAAGCTTTCAAATCTGATATTGTTACATATCCAGTAATAATGCACGACATTCCGCAGTTTCTGGTGCCATTTTTCGGGGGTGTGAGATTGGTTTTTGGTCTCGAATACATCTGCGTCAAATGTGTTTGTACTGCGTGCACGGTGCTACTTGAGTCACTTGCTTTTTGGCTTTTGTCCAGTCAGGGTCATCCCTCTCATCTATCCAGGCTGCTGCTGCTGCGGCTGTATTTCGCTGTCGAAGGCGCCTAAGTCGGCAAGGTGGTGCTGCGGATGCGTCAAAGATTAGAGGGAAGAGGGGTGAATTCGCTTCCAATGATGCTTATTCACCGTCTTGGCGTATGAAGTATCTGTCATGCG